AGTTTCTCATCAAATTGGAATCATAGATATTCTCGATTTTATATTACCTGTTCTACTCATCTCACACCTACTTTTTACTCATATTTAATCTCATTTGTATAACCTATAGTGATATTTTCAACTGTGTCTTTTCATATTGTGACCATCTCTATACTTTTATTTAGGTCTCAGGGAAAAAGAATTGATAATATTATCAGTATGATTTAACGGCTGTTTTGGTTGGTTTTAAAACGTTTCAACTGCAACCGCGGCAGTCTCTTGACGTATCAACTGAAATTGAAAAGTTTCAGTATCAACTGAAACTGAAAAGTTTCAGTTGACACGCATCATTATTATCATTGTGCAAGAAAATGAAAAGAGAAACGAAAAAAAATAGTAAAGAGGAAAAAATAAAGAGCAAGAGAAGAGCAAAAGACAGAAATTCAAAATAAAACCAGAAGATATTACTATAACAACTACAACAACGAGAAATGATGAAAAAAAAGAAGAATTGAGAAAGACTTTGTAAAATGAATTTGGCAAATCTGGAATAATGGAGTATGTTTGGATCAACCAAAATAACATCAAATAATCAAAAACCGAAATCATGCACATGGAGAAACTTATGAAAACCCACTATCAATCGGGAAAACTGATTTCGAAGCAATGAAGCGGTAAAACAATAAACTGAAAGGAGAGATTGGGGTGGAAAAGTTACTCAAAGATACCTATAAATGCAGCAGTATTGGGTAATATTTTTTCTTCGTTACATACTAAGTGACAAAGAAAGGTAAACACCCATTCATATTGGAAATATTTTATCAATCTTTTACTTACATACTTAGCAGATAATAGCAAACAAACGATTAAGTTTTCAGAGAAATTGGATGATCGTGAAACCAGTAAAGTTCAGTAGTGTGTTGCAAATCCTCGATGTCTTATACACTCCTGCATACGTCTGAGCATTGTCCTGATATGATGGTCTATATCCTGTTGGGATATCTCATTCCACCCTTCTTCTAACTTATGTCTAAGCGCTGTCAAAGTCTGTGGGTAATTCAGCAGTCTGCGAACAAGAATATCCCACACATGTTCGATCGGTGAAAGATCGGACGATCTGGGTGGCCATGGTAAGCGGTTAACGTCATGCTGATTGATGAAGTCTAGAGTTACTCTAGCCACATGCGGTCTAGCGTTGTCTTGTTGCAATATGGGGTTCTCGATGGAACATGAGGTTCCACTACTTCGTGAATGTAACGAAGAACTGTCATGTTGCCTCTAATAAAGACTAAAGGTGTCCTGCTACCATAGGCAATGGCGCCCCATACCATCAAACATCAAACTGGGGATCTCGTCTTCCACCAATACGCCTTCTTACTCTTGCTCGTCCATCGTACATACCCAAACTGAGGCGAGATTCACCGCTGAAGATGACGCGGTTCCACTGTTGATCCCAATTTATTATGTCTCTGCACCAGTGCAATCGGTTGCGTCAATGCTCGAGAGTCAGTGGCAATATTCAATAGGGATTTTAAGAAAAAAGTCCGAAACTTTTTATTCCCCGATATACTTAGCGAATTTCAACGACCCTTTCGTGTTCTTCAATCTACTGATTCGCAATTGCTCTAGTAGAAATGAACCGATCTCTAAAAGCCAAATTTACTGATCGCGAAAGAATGGCACCTAAAGGCTGACTTTCGACCAAAAGAGGTCAGATGTCAATCTTGCTGAAGTGCCCATCAGTAAGTTGAGGACCGCTCGGAGAGCGGGGGTGGATGGAGTGGGGTAGTAGGTTCTCCTCGCTAAATAGCTGGGGGGAGNTTGTAATTTTCACAGTCACACACAAACTGGAAACAGTTTATGTGACTTCTTAGTTTATTAACTTAACTTGTTTTTACTATGTCTATATTCTATATTTTATATTGTACTTGCGAATTTTCACACTTTTACAGGAACATGCTTCTTTCCTGAACGATGGGAAGGAACATGGTTTCAGTCAGGAGTTCGACAGCCTATTCTAATAGAAGGTCCAAGATTGAGCAACAAAGGAAGATGTTTGAATTCCGATGGGGACAAATTTCTACTAGTTGATGAGTAAGTTTTTTTTATTATTAATTAGGCAATTAGACACCTGCAAATCATGGCTGAAAAACCTAAGAACAAAAAATAATTTGGTTCATTGATTATATTTTTGAAGTTTCATTGAACATTTTGATAGTGGCACGTTAATTTGAGTGATCTCGAAATTATCTAAACTGCATTCAAGAAACGTTATATCCAATAAAAAATACACAAAATGAACAAGTTGTCAATCAAAGAAGTCATACCTATGTGATATTCAATATTTTTTTACAATTAGAGTTTAAACAAATATTTTTTTGTACAACTGTCATTAAAAGTGACATTTTTAATTGTTGTCAAGAGTATTAAAACATGATGTTTACAAAGTGACGTGTCAAAAATATTTTTAACACTAGTATTAAAACTATTTTTACGCGATTTTTTTCGACAAATAGCAATTAACGAAACATAATTATTCAATTTTGAAGGAAGTTTTATTATGAACAATAGATATATACGGCGAAACATCGGTGTATACCAGTGAGGGTGACAGTGTTTCATGTAAGTGCAATTTATTACCATTCATTCAAAGTAGGACTCATGTGAATGATATCTGATTTTATTCCACAACGAATGTTTGAAATACAAACTGAGTAGAGAAAATTATCTTCTGTATGATTCAGTGTTCATATAGAAATATTTGTTTTGAAAGAAATGTTTAAATGAAAGTAGCTGTTTCAGGGGGACTTTCTTTCAGTTTGTGTCTGAAAGTTACTTCTTTGCATGATCTAAACATCCATGTATAGAGTTACTTATTTTTAAATTGATTACTTCCTTCCTTTCTTTGAAAGATTCCCTCATCTTTTTTTGTATCAAGATGGAGTAGCAGAAAGCCAATAACTTTCTTTCCCAAAAATTAATCACTCCTAAAAATATGACCCCTTCAATTCAAATAAGATTCCTCTTGCCTGGGATTAAATGAAATAGGTGAATGAATGTCATTACGATATCATCGATGACATGAGCAGATCAAGCTTATTCCCTGACATTACAAATCGTAATTCATGAATGAATTCTGTGTATTTTCTATAATGTTATCCAATTTGGTACTGACAATCCCTAAGGCAAGTGTCTTACGGCGAAACAAAACTGGAAACAGTTTATGTGACTTCTTAGTTTATTAACTTAACTTGTTTTTACTATGTCTATATTCTATATTTTATATTGTACTTGCGAATTTTCACACTTTTACAGGAACATGCTTCTTTCCTGAACGATGGGAAGGAACATGGTTTCAGTCAGGAGTTCGACAGCCTATTCTAATAGAAGGTCCAAGATTGAGCAACAAAGGAAGATGTTTGAATTCCGATGGGGACAAATTTCTACTAGTTGATGAGTAAGTTTTTTTTATTATTAATTAGGCAATTAGACACCTGCAAATCATGGCTGAAAAACCTAAAAACAAAAAATAATTTGGTTCATTGATTATATTTTTGAAGTTTCATTGAACATTTTGATGTGGCACGAAATTATCTAAACTGCATTCAAGAATCATTATATTCAATAAAAAATACACAAAATAAACAAGTCGTCAATCAAAGAAGTCATACCTATGTGATATGGACTCATCATTTAAAAGTTCTAATTAATATTCAATATTTTTTTACAATTAGTGTTTTAACGAATATTTTTTTGTACAACTGTCATTAAAAGTGACATTTTTAATTGTGGTCAAGAGTATTAAAACATGATGTTTACAAAGTGACGTGTCAAAAATATTTTTAACACAAGTTTTAAAACTATTTTTACGCGATTTTTTTCGACAAATAGCAATTAACGAAACATAATTATTCAATTTTGAAGGAAGTTTTATTATGAACAATAGATATA